CATTCATTTACTCAAACACATTAAAAGTGCTCAGAATTAACCCGACAGCATCTTGAATTAGTAAAATTTTCCTTGCTGCTCCCCTAAGAAGAAAATAATTGAAAAAATCTGAATTTCTTATAAATTTGTTCTATTTCTTCAATTAAAACACCTTGAAAGGGTCCAGAAATCACTGAATGTGATCTTGAACTGTTAAAAGTTCTCGGGCATTTATGCCCTTCTAGTACACCCTCCCCCTATTCCAGTGTTTCTCCAAATTGCTCATACAATATTTAGTCTAAAAACAATACGAAAACAATAAAATACTACAAAATATGGGAAGTAACCGACCCCCCCCCCCCCCCCTTTGACTTACGCAATTTGAATTACGCGGCAAGAAATTGACAACTTTATTTTCTCTTTAGTTAAAACCGCACCCCCTTGGAGAAAAGTGTCTTACGGGCCTGCCTCCGGACGTTCAACCGCAAAGCAGTCTCTCTACGCCACGAGGCTACTCTGCTTAGGTGTCAGAACATATCCACAGTGACATCTATATGAAAACCAAGTACAATCAGTATCGAGTAATTTTTGGAACGTGAAGGACGTACTCCAGGCGGCTTGGTGAGTAAAATTTATTTTGAGGGTATGACGGCCCTCCGTGCTTTTGGGAAGCACGCATGGACTTTTAGAGGCCATAAGGGGCATTCTAGGTTGAACACGCTTTGGGAGTGTGTAGAGATATATGCCTTGGGGGCGATATTGCTTTTGGGAAGCATGCATTGAATTTTAGAGGCCATAAGGGGCACTCTTGGTCGAACACGCTTTGGGAGTGTGTAGAGATTTATGCCTTGGGGGCGATATTGCTTTTGGGAAGCATGCATGGACTTTTAGAGGCCATAAGGGGCATTCTAGGTTGAACACGCTTTGGGAGTGTGGAGAGATATATGCCTTGGGGGCGATATTGCATTTGGGAAGCTTGAATCATGGAAAGGTCATAGCTAAGAGATGCATAAGGGCATCCACCCTTTGGGAGGGTAGATATGTTATCAGTTTGGTAAGGACATAGCGAATAGGTGCATAAGGGCACAATGTTTGGAATTTGAGAGAGAGTTATTATGCTTTGAGGCAACAATGATAATGGCACGAACTTGAAGATCGTGCATTGTTCTTGGGTGCGTAATTTGCTAAATTGGGACGACATAATATTTTGGTATTTACACGCATGGATGGGTTGTTTGCGTTATAATACGAGGTCAATATTGTGGTGTAAATCTCAAGGACTTATCGGGTTGATTGAGTTGAGTTGAGTTGAGTTGATTGAGTAATTATTGCGCACAAAAGGAACGACTCTCATTGGTTGGAGGGGAGTATTCATTCATATATAGTAATTGGCATGAGTGAGTAAATTCAATGAATGAGACACGAATGTTTGGCACGCTGATACACGAGTTTCATGATTTCGTAGGAAAGCTTAAGATTGTGATATTGGTAAGTTTGCTTGGTTATCGTTAGATATTCTTAGATTTTATACATGGAACCTGAACATAAAGCTTATTTGGCAGATGTATACGACTTGTATATTTAGATATCACAATGGAAGAATAGAATTGTGATGTTTAGGATGAAATACCGGGTAAAACATAACTTTGAAATATATTTGCAGAGAATGGCAAAGGATACAATACTGAAAGACAGGCATGAAATTCGGGCGGATTTATTGTGCACCTCGATAAAGTGGGTGAGGGATGTGGAACCAGAAGTGGTTAAGAAAGGCGGAGTTGACGTACACTCCATGACAATGGCGCAGTTGGAAGGTAAGACTACTTGAATACATAAAGGATGACAGTGAGATATATTAGAGTACGGGTGTATACTCGCTTCCCATACCTATGATGAGCTGAAAAGATTTCTTCGGAAAAATTTTGTTTGTTAGTTGAAATGTTATCATGAGGAATTGTACGTTGTTTTGATTTGTTGCTTGATTTGAACGTTCTACCAGTAGCATGATGGTGTAGTCAGACGCATATGTTTGGTTTTAGTATTTATTTTATTTGGTTGTCTACAACGTTTACACATCACTATTGTGCAATGAAGGTGTAGTCTACGTTATAGGATACTGAGTTATTGTTATTTGTAGAAAACTGGAATAATCTTTGTGAGGAACCAGGGTTGGGTGAACTGTTGGCAATGGCGGGGAAACCGACAGCAACGGAAGCGGAACAGAAGAATGCTATTAATATAGCGGTGTTATTGGCTAACGATAAAGGTCAGCCCAAGGGACAGAAGATCTCGGTGAGTGAGAATAGAAATTGATATGTACATAGTCAAAGAACATCACATGTGTACGTTTACGTAGACTGTACAATGTATAGATTAGTTTTTGTTAGAATGATAAGTGGCAAAGGGAGATAATTTGTGTATCGTGCACACGTTTCAAAACATCATACATGAGTAATGTGAGTTTATTCAAATATGTTGAGGTTGTGAGGGGTTATGTTAATTCATTTTTCAATGTGTTATAGGTAGCAGCAAAGACAAAGGCGACTCCAGGTACGTCGGCGGGGTCTAGCAAGACGTCAAGAATGGAGACGCCACCGTCTGCAGACAATGATCTAGCATCGTTGAAGAGAAAGATAGAAGGATAGAAGAACTGGAGGGCAAGGAGAAGGAGAAAAAGGAGAAGAAGGTGTATGCAGAAGGAAGTTAACACCTCTGAATTGATTTCAAGATTGTACGATCTGACTGAACTGGCAAAGAAGACAAAGCATAAGGACCATGGTCTTTTTGAGGGGGTATCAAAGTATGCGTCCAAATACTCAGATCGACTGATTTGTTAAAGGCATACCGTTTACTTTGTTAGTTGTATATAGTTATATCTTGAAGTTACTACATGTATAGTCCATGGGACACTGATCCTTAGTGAAATTATTTCACGCGGACTATGTGTGTAGAAATTTCATTATCATTCGAGGGTGAGTGATGTCTGACTAATTTCCTGTAGAGTGATTCAAGTTCGTTTAGCAGAGGATGTGTACCTCAATGGGAGTTAGAGGCTAATTTCCATCCTGGTTTAGTGGATATAAGAAATTCGTCAGAATCAACCAAACTTTCGAATGGTGATGAGATTTCTCCACGCATAGTTCGTGAGCATTTACCATCTGCAGAAAATGTTATAGATGGCTATGTCAGCCAGTTTGAATATAGTAAGTTGCCTATTTGGGATCCTAAATAGTTTGTGGCAGGGAGGTTACACAGCTTAGTGTTTAGAAAGAAATGGGAAAATCTCTTTATAGATTATCAGGGGAATGATCCGAATATTATGAACTGGTTGTGTAATGGAGTGGACATTTCAGAATACTTTGTACACTTTAAGGGCTCTTTCAAGGGGAAAGCATATGATAGTGATACACCCCCAAGAAATTTCTTAAGAAATGCTGAAAGTTGTATACCGTTTGTGGATTTTATAGCTAAAACATTGGAAGATAAAATAAAAACGGGTGCTATTAAACTTCTGGGAAGGCTTGGGGAATGCCAAATGCCACATGTTGCCATGCCTTTGTTAGTGGAACCGTCAAAACCACGTTTATGCCACGATGACCGTTATATCAATTTATGGATGAGGGACATGCCTTTTACGTTAGAAAAACTTAGGGAGGTGCCAAGAATGGTCGATAGGGGTGCTGTATTGTTTAGCTGTGACGATAAAAGTGGATATGACCATGTCCTGCTGTCTGAGAGTTCTCAAATGTATTTTGGGATTGTGTTTGGGGAGTGGGTCATGGTATATAGAACTATCCCATCTGGTTGGAAATTGAGTCCGTATGTATATCATCAGTCACTCGGGATGGTGGTTACCTCATACTTGAGATCCCTCCAAATATGCACAATGCAATACGTTGATGATCGGCCATTTGTGGTCAATAGGAAACCCAGTGAAGTGGAAGAAGAGTTTGAATTCAGGCAAAGATGTACAATCTATGCCATTTTTGAAGATATTGTCAGATCTTGGTTATACATTAGCTATACGAAAGTGTAATTTTCAGCCTACAATGTGTTTGGGATATCTTGGTCTTTTCATCGAATCCGAGCCAATGTGTTTTCATCTTCCAACTGATAAGGAGATTTTGTTTGGAATTCATGTCCTATATACTATCAAAGAAAAAGTTGATATCAGGGTCCTGTAACGCTGGGTATGTTAATGCATCTCCATGATACTGGTAGTCCCAGGGACCAAGATGTATACAAAAGTAGCAAATAATTCACTTTCTAAAGCAATTAGAAATAGTAAATTGGTCGAAATGTCTGATGACTTATTTAGAGAAATTCAGTACTGGAAGTCTTTGGAAGATTGGGGAAGGGTATGTTCCCTGGAGAAAAGAGTGTCACAAAAATCTGGTTCTTGCCTCGGACTCTTCACTATATGCGTATGGTCTGGTTCTAGGGGAGTCAATTCCAGGACAAGAAAATCAGGGTGTCATATCTGATTATTGGGAAGGTGACGACTCCCGTCCAATCCATCTTAAAGAAGCACATGCTGTTTTAAACGGTATGAATGCATTGCCAAGTGAACTGCAGAATTGTATAGTCAGGATCATGGTTGATAACCAGTCAGTAGTCCAGTCGTGGAATAATGGTGGCTGTAAATCGTTGGAATTGAATGACATATTGAAATCTTTTTTCATGGTTTGTCTAGAAAAGAATATTGATCTAAGTCTGTTCAGAATATCTACAACAAACAATCCCGCTGATGTGCCTTCAAGAAGGCTTTCAAACATGGACGCAATATTGCAGTCGGGAATTTGGGCGATAATTGAACACAATTTTGGGCCTCATTCAGTCCCATGTCATTAGATTCCAATAGTTTGGTCGATCGTCATTTTACGCCGTCTCCGCTTCCGAAATCATCGGGGGTAGATGTATTGAGTCAAAAGATAGAGACTGAGGCTAATCCTTATGTCTTTCCTCCTTTCTGTATGGTACTTCCAGTTACAAGATATTTGGTTGAGAGAAGGTTAAAAGATATACTATTGTTGTGGCCGAGAGATTTTCATTAGATCCCTGGTGGCCAGTGTTAAATACGTATCCTGTGTCTAAAATATTTTTGGCAGGAATCGGCTCAAAGGAGGCACTGTTGTACCCAAGTAAAGGGGCATTTATTAAAGATCAGTATGGCTTGAAATTCAATTTGTGGGCATCAGAGTGTCCATGTCTTGAACAAACGTTTTCCTGTCTTGTATGCTTTCGGGCATGGTTAGATGGCAAACCAATATATCTAAGTGAAATAGATGGTAGAATTAAGGAAATTGAGAAAAATGCGTCCGAAAAAGGATATGTAAGGAAGTCAACAAAGCTGTTTTAAACATTTCAGACATTTTTGGTTTGTATTAGGTTAGATGTATCGCGCTCATAGTGTGGGTCCAAATGAAGTGAAGAGATTTTTGGTATACAAGGATTCGTTTGGAAAGACAAAAGTTTATGAGCCAAGTTGTGCATTTTTGGGGAAAAAGCTCAAGGGAGATATACATTATTGTTGCCCTACACGATTAGCATCGGGGACGTTAGAGGGTATGGTACATCAGTTAGCTAGAGAATTCTTCCTTATTGGGAGGGGGAATTCTGGAATTGTGCTCTCGGTGATGGGAATCCTGCCAGATTACCTTATGTTAAACAGTAGTTAAAGATTTTGAAACAGGGTCATGAGAAAGGTCACGTTATTCCTAAACAGGCAAAACCCATATTCAGGTCAAAAATTAGGAAGATCATGGGATTTATTGATCGAGAGCTACAGGTTATAGATTTGAGCAATAAATTGAGGTACATTTTGTTGAGAGATCTAGACCAGGCGTTTTTCAAGTTACAGTTTTGTAGTGGGTGACAGGGCTGGGGATTTATCCCATTTAAAATCTCAGGAAATAACCAAACTGGGCGATGGTTCAGGATTCTGTATTTCTCTAAGCTTTGGTAAAACATTGTGGGGAGGAAGAGCAACATATTTGTCTTGAGAAAATGTGAGAACAAGATTATGTGTCCGGTAAAGGGATTAGAAGATTATGTTAAAGTTATGAAAAGTGAAGGGGTGGATTTATCAGTTGGGTATCTTTTTCGGCCAACACTGCGTCAAATGTGAAATTCCAAGCAATTTCTAGACGTGCAAAGATAGTCTAGGAACTCCGCGTATCTAGAGATTCCAAGACGTGTCAAGAGGTGCAAAGACCTCGCGTGTAAAGAGCGTGTCAAGAGTTTTGATATCTCTTTGCACAGCCTTATCAAAACAAACAGTATAATTAGACCGGCCACATGTTGTTATGCCCTATAGTCGCGCTTAATTATACTTTACTAGGATTGGAATATAACAATCATTTTAATTTCGTGTTAATAATAATTTGTGTTTTTTAAATCATTATCAAAATAAAATTAATTTAAAAGTATGCGTGTGCGTGTAAGTATAGGCAATAGCTTAGTCGAAATGAGTAGATGTGTGCAGATGGAGATCGCCTATGTATTTTGCTAAATCTGACATTTTTACAGGATCATGTTAAAGATCAAATGAAAACACGAAATGTGTTTTTCTTAGGTTTATCTACCCTGATTTCGAGTGATTTTAACCTGGACGCATATTCCTAGATATTAAAACAGTTTGAATAATTAACAAAGTCCACTTTGAACCGTGTCAATCAAATTGTCAAATATGTAGATAGCACATGCAGGCCCGAATACAGGGGGGATAGATTGGTTCTAGCGACCCCCCCCCCCTCCGTGACCAAAATTGCATTTTTACCCCATACTGAGCACCTTTTAAATTATTTTGCTCATTTTTGAACTAACATTGCCAAAAGTAAACTCCCCCTGGAATTTCTTAAAAAAGTAACCCACCCCTTGGCAAATCCTGGCTATGGGTCTGAAACGCCTGAAACATGCTCTGATATAATGAGGCATATTCTGTGATCTGAGCATATCAGATGGGAAGAGTTATGAATGTCAATAAGTGTGATTGTTATCATGTAATCATCTACCTTAATGTCAATACATTACATAATGTAGTAAGGCATTGTACATGTATTTAACAACAGGCACATCCTTCTTCAAAGGACTTCATTTATACTTGTAAAATACCCTTCCAGCGAGGATGCAACAGGCACAGTTACACAAGTTTTATGACCCCAATTAGATGAAATATGAGCTGGGATGAAAGATCTCAAAAATCAAGGGCTGGGAAGATTTGAGATGTCATGGTTTACTATCATGACGCTGAAACATGTGTCGCTTATTGTCACCTGTTGATCATGATGGGGCGACGGCAGTGCCCCGAGTCTTTTTGATCTGTTTAATCTTATTAGTTACTATTTAAAATTGAATAATTTAGGACCACGGAAGCAAAACAACTCTTTGTTATGAAAGGAATACACCACCCACATGGACAGAATCCCTCATGTAAACCATCTATAAATACCTTTGAAATCAATTTGATTTTCGATCTACATCTGAATCTCAGATGGAGAGTACTCTTTGACAAGATCAACATTTAAAAGTGTAGGAAAGTTTTGATAAAGATGTTTAATAGCTAATTATTCAGACATATTGTTCTTTCATGTTGACGATCATCGAACATAATTGCAATCAACTTCCATGATATTTGCAATTTTGAATTTTGAATTATTTTGAATGCAAATGTACTCAAGTACTATATCCTGAGTTCTGCCCGGATCCCCGAAAACGTTGAAGAATCGGAATAAAAATATTAAAAACAAAGATATAGCTGTGGTCCTGTATGCGACCTTGCTACCAGTCCCAAATAATTTCCTTCTGATTGCACATCATATTTCTCAGCATGTTTTGACATTCTGATACCATATTTCTGTTTCACCTGAAACATCTCGGGGCTGAGAGGAAGTGAGATGTCATGATTTATCCAGGATAATTTTGGATCGAGTCTCTAAGAATGCCAGGGGCCCAATATGGGGTTTGATTCATGTTATTTCCCTATAGGCTATCGTCTGACTTTTTATTTGTAAGAACGGAAATTTGGAATATCTCATTTAAAATGGCAACAAAGTAAAATCTTGGCACAGATGACAAAGATGTCCTTAACAAAGACAATCACAGAGGAATCACGCTGATGTGTACGTACATGAAATTGCTGGAAGGATTAATGGCTAAGAGGGACCAAGAGTTTCAGGACTTGGGCATTCACCAAATAAAGCATGAGTTACAAGGAGTGAACAGGAAGGGGTGCTCCAGTTTACATACTTCACTTGTAACACGGGAAGCCATTGCCTACGGCCTAGAGAGGGGCAATGACGTCATCGTTGTGGCATTAGACATTAGAAAAGCCTTCGATGGAATTTATCACAACGGGCTGTTGTACAAGATGTACCAACAAGGAATAAGAGGCAAACTCTGGAGAATCCTAAGAAATGCATATGATGGATATACCTGTGCTATACGGATTGGCGGCTGTAGTGAGATGTCCGAGCCCTTCCTTGTCGAACAATCGGTTCATCAAGGAGGAATCTATAGTATGGAATTGTACTCAAAATACACCCATGGTCTGATAACTGAGGTATGTGACAGTGGTTTAGGGTCAACAATAAGTGGAATTACTACAACGATCCCAACATACGCAGATGATACCATTCTTATAGCGTATCACAAGTCTACCATGCAACAACTGCTTCACATACTTTATCAATACAGTGTAAAGTGGAGATTTAGCTTTCATCCAAATAAATGTAAATCAATAGTCTTCAGTAAAGGAAGAAATGTATTAAAATGTGACTTAACAATAGGTGGCGATATTATCCCGACTGTGTCAGAAATAGAGCATCTGGGTCTCCCTTTATCACCGACGACTAACCAGTTCATAGATGATCGGATAGCCAAGGGCAGGAGGACGATCAATGCGTACGTAGGTGTAACATCGAGCCCTACGAATCCACCTAACCCCCTTACCATTTCAAAGCTGTATTGGACAGTAGCCATTCCCTCTATGCTTTACGGTTTTGAAGTAATTCCTCTGCATGAGAATGACTACAGGAAGCTAGAGGATGGACATAGAGCTAGTGCCAAGAAATGCCAAGGACTACCTAAGAACACAAGTGATCCAGCTGTCTTGGCACAATTGGGTTGGCATAACATAACGTACAAGATCAGTCTAATGAAATTATTGTTCTTATGGAGTCTTTTAGCATTGCCCATTGGGAACATTTACAGAAGAATTTGCATCATACGTATCATTCAAATGAGTGCTGCCAACCTTAATGTACAGTCTCCTTTACGTGACATAATGAACACATGTGTTAAATATGGTTTATGGTCGAACGTTATGAATATGGTAAAATTTGCAATTGTACCCTGTAAGTTACAGTGGAAACGAATGGTCATTGAAAAACTTAAAGACTATCATATCAATGAGTGGCATCTTAAGTTGTTAACGTATAGAAAACTCAATGTTTACAGAGATGTTGTAACAGAGATCAAGCCCATTTCATGGTGGGTAGTTGCTCGGAAATACCCTAGACTAGTGAAACATTGCCGCCTAATGGTAATGCTTCTGGTAGGAGAGGGAAACCTCCAAGTAAATGTAGGCCGTTGGAATAATACACCAACTTATCTTAGACTGTGCCAAATGTGTGAGAATTGTATAGAAACGTTATCCCATATGTTATTTGAATGTGAGGCTTTAAGTGAAGCGCGAACTCCAATAATGGACTTGATGAGGGAATATGGAGTTGTAGAATTTAATAACATCAATCAAAAACTTAATTTCATTTTCGACGAAGGTCAGATCCTAGATGACAATGAACTAATCTTAATTGTGACAACCGTATTTAAAATGTACACTATGCGTCCAAATGAGGCATAAGTGGTCTGATAGTCAACTTTTGACAAAATAACACACAATTGTAATATACATGTAATTTTAATCTGTACGATAAATCTTATCTCACATCACATAATGTTTAAATGTAAATGATAATTTCATATGTATTATATGTTACTAAACTAAATTATAAAATGTACTCATCAAAAATGATGGATTAATAAACATAATAAACATAATAAGGGGCACAAATAAATTGTTTAAAACGTTTAAAACAAGGACAATCATTAATCTTAAGCATTTGAATCTTGTAAACGGCCGTGAGATTATACTTTTGGTTCCCATGATTTCAAATCTTTGATCAATTCAATATCTAGAAAAACAATATTAATTGACATTAGACAAAGTCTAACAAATCATGAACGAATCAAACTAAAATTCCTTATAAAACCGGACCAAATGTTTTAAATGAAATCCAAGTTAAACATGGGTATTGTCAAACTTATCCCCGATTTAACAATGATGCAAAAATCCATCCTTTGATCACTAGTTTAATCACAAGTTCAGGTTATGTGGATTATAAAGTTAAAACTCTTAAAGAATAATCCCTTGTCATTGAAAATGATACCGAGATCCTCATACTTCTCCCGGGATACTTATCTTTAAACCAGACTCGATATTTGGAATACACTCTCTGTATAAAGCACATTATTTAAAACCCTCAAAATGAATATGTTCAGGCCCGTAGCCCCCCCCCCCGGCCAAAAAATCTTTCAAATCATGCAGTTTTCACCATTCTGAGCACTTTTTTAAGTGATTCTGGCTAATTTTGGAGCAAAATTGTCACAAGTGAACCACTTCTGGAAATTTTCAAAAAGTGAATCCCCCTTGGCAACTCCTGGCTACAGGCCTGATACTCTTTGGTGTAAAATAAAGGTAATTTTGCTTAGCGCCTGTTTCGAGATTCGCAAAATTAAACCCTGATTCAATCCATTCCTAGCAGAACACCAAACGCTGAAAAAGGACACATCGTGAAAGGAAACAAAAATATTATTTTCAAAGTGCCGAAACAATCATGTCTTATTGTATTTTATGGCTATATCAATTGAATACATGTTACAGGGACATAGCCAGCCTTCAGTCAGGGTGGTGCGATCGTCAAAAAATCGGTTTTCAGTCGGGGGGATGCGATTGTGGCATATAAACAAGCCAAAAATTAAGATTTATCTTGATTTTTACAAAAATTGATGCAAATTCCTTCAAAATTGAACTAGAAGTTTCAAATGAAAGCCATTCAAAGCTCCTTTCTTCTTCCTTCTCTATTTGTTAAGCGGAGGGGGGTGCGATCATTCACGAATCGCACCCCCCCCCCTGGTTACGCCTATGTGTTAAAACTTTACACAATATCAATATTTAAAACTGTATCTTGTAAGTGGCTTATTAAGCATCAGATCAATCACTAAGAACCCCTCTTATCTGCCGTTTGCGTTTGGAAGGATAAAGACAAAGGGGACGCGGCTACATGTATATCGCGATAACGTGAAATCTTTATGACATATCCCTTCAACAGGGCCTACACCAATATTCTTAACACCACTTATTAAAGGATGCATGCATCAAGGGGTAGACATCATTCAAAAGACATAAACTTACCGGGTCGGTCAGGGGAAGGTTTGCATACGATGCAATTTGTACATGCAAGCTCATTTTTCACATATAAATTAATAAAGTCGATTCCTTGGGAATACGTTATTGGGTTTATAAGCGTAACGAGGAGAAGCGATGGGTTCGCACCCCCTCCTACAAGCAATAAAAGGTACCATAAGGTAGAGGAAGAAAAGAGCATTAAATTGATTTTTTGTTTGAAGCTTCTAGCTCAGGTTTGAAGGAAGTTGCATCATTTTCGTAAAAATTCAAAACAAATATTTTTTGCCTCATTTATGTCACAATCGCACCCCCCGACTGAAAACCTAAATATTTTGGTGATTGCATCACCCCTCCCCCCGACTGAAAGCTGGCTACGGCACTGGGGTTTTATCGAAAACTATATCGTCAACATTTTATCATTATGCGGAAAGTTCAATATGAAATCTTAAATGGTAAATATGTTGCATTTATGGAGCGAATTCCACTGTAAACTATAATGTGAATGTTTGATATGAATACTTCCATACAACCATCAATATCCATTCTTTTGAAATAAGATGTTACAACAAAGGGAATATTGAAAACTACAGTGGTAAGAGCATCTTTCTGACTGCTAATTATGTGTATCAACATTTTGATTGCACCTCAGCTGGAGATTAAATCTTATAATAATTTGATCAAAGGGATTGTAATTTTCCCCGATTCGCTTATCTATGTTACAATCTGTATACTTGTTATATTGTGAGCGGTATGTGTTGATAAACCAAAAAGATATGTTTTTTTGGATATCAACATTTAGAAAAAAGTGTAAGATACCATTCTATATGTTTATCTTAGAGTTTAGCATAGGTAAGAATGGGGGATGGGCTGGCGGGGGTCCGTCTTTGAATAATTCCAAGGGGTTCATATATTATCACAATTTTGCTACAAAATCACTTGGAAAGTGCATGATTTGAAAGATTATTTGGCCAAGGCGTCCGCTATTAACATGAGTATGAATTTTATAAAAAAAATTACTTGAATCAAAATCGAAGAATTCCTTGCCCCGTGTGTTCACCATTCACCCCGGGGGTTCACACTCGGCTCAGGTGGGGTACCATTTTTACATTTGGTATGTCAAGCCAATGGACCCACATTTTAAGACAGATTTTTCCATTTTCTGGTATAAGAATCGGTGTGGAAAATATGTTACCCCTCAATTGTGGTACGGCATTGGTCCCGGGGCATTGGTCTAGTTGTTACACATATCCTTCATTTGAGGTTATTTATGATCATTTTACTCAAAGATCTGCCTTCTTCTCGGGGCATTCGATATTTCGAATGGCCTTGGTCTTATATTCTGGATATTTGGTACCCGGGGGTATGGCATTGGTTCTACATTTGGATGTTTGACATGGCATTGGTCTTGTGTTTGGACATTTGATATGGCTTTTTGGGGTTTATTTTAGTTTGTATGAGAACACATTTAATGCCACCCCCCCCCCCAAATTACAAATCTACATCTATTCTCTCTATCCCAAAGGTGGATCGGAAGCATGAAAAACAGATGCAGACTCGGGACAGTTGCAAGGGGGGCTATAATGGAGAAATTCGTTTTGATTTTGAGTCTAACTGAAATATTTTGTCACAAATATTAATTAAATGCGCAAATAGCCTGTTTTATTAAATGAGACTAGGGCAAAAAATCTATTCATTAAATCTAAAGCCTAGACGATATCTTCTGTAATCAAGGTGGTTTTGGTACACTTCCGCAATTATAAAAACAAAAACATAGACTAAGTTATTAATCTTTTGTTATCATATCAGATTAAGTCAGTTTTGTCTCCGATTGTTATGCAGGTGTGTGTATCGACTCCAGTGAACAACATTAAGTGAATCAATCCTTGAAATTCCCAAATTCATTCCAAATTCTGGCCGTTAACCCCCCCCCCCCTCCCCTCCCCCATGTCTCTTAATTACATTTATTTTGCAAATGAAATATAAATTATAGATTAAAATATTTCATTTTCGAATTGCACAAAGGGCAACATGTGAAGATAAAACCGCGATCCTAAAGCTACTTGCGAAACAAAGTGGTTTATGGTCCCCAATATCATTATTATATTAATACCAATACAATGTACCTCTATGAATATCATAAATTCACTCCTTTTTAATATCAATAGTCAAACAAATTAAGTAGTATGCTACCTATTGATTACTCTTTAATACAAAATTTAACCATTTTAGAATGGGTAACTCACACCCCCCCCCCGTCCATGTCCATGAAGTGCGTAGACTGACATAATAGTGCCATTTATTAATTAAACATCACTGATTTATGTTGAGACATTCAGTGCGATTATTTCATTTCTTTGTTCAAAAAGTTAAAGCACCAATTAAATACATATTTTTATCACACAAAAGGGGCAGAATACTTGACCTTGTATCAATTCATATCCCGATAATTCTTTACAAGGGAATGTTTCTTATTAAAACATAAGCAGCGCCTAGGCGTCGATTGGGGGGGGGGGGGGTCAATCCGGTGTTCTCAGGCTATGTACAGCCAAGTATCCTGTTTATGTAAAAAACCTACGTTCCCGAATCACAATCAGACAATTAATTAGTATATTTGCTGTGTCTAGCAATTGATCATAGAATTAGATGTTGCGAAAACTATGGGAACTTGTACCTGTCTGTTTATGGATAGGCTGGGAAAGAACAGCAGAGAGAATGGTACATTCGATTGAATATGCTTGTGTTGCCCAATTGTGTATTAAAATGCCCCTCATTTATCATATGTATGGTCACAAGTTAAGTCGGCGATAATTTGTATTGACTTAACTTGAAACAAATTACTCCGAAATCCAAATACTCATCGAAAAGTAAGGTTATCTTTATATTAAGAATACAAAATAAATATATAAATAGGCCTGATGTATCAGTGTTTTCATAGTTTATTGCACGTTTTATCCTTGAAACGCCTTTCTTTTTCTATAATGGAGAAATTCGTTTTGATTTTGAGTCTAACTGAAATATTTTGTCACAAATATTAATTAAATGCGCAAATAGCCTGTTTTATTAAATGAGACTAGGTATTTCCTTCACTTAGGATCAATGCGTCGATTAGCATTGCCTATAACTGATTTATATTTTCAAAAGGCGGCATGAAATTGCCAAAATGTTTAAATAAGTCAATGTGTCAGCGTACATACAAAATAGTCTGTTTAATATTTGCTACATGTACTTGTTCCAAACAGTCTGCGAAAGAATGATTAAAAAATATATCAATTAAAAGTATCAGAGAAAATACTTGCAATCGTTAAAATACTGTATGTTTTGCTATTGGTAATTAGGTTAGTTGTTTACACATAATTATGTTGTTCAGTGTGCCAAGAGCGTGTCAAGAGATTCCATTAATTGTCACAGGGCGTGTAAAGACTTTTTGACATGGTCTTTACACGTCTTTGCACTGCGTGTGCCAAGAAGTGCAAAGAGGTGTAAAGAGTTGAATTCATCGCGTGTCAAGAGGTGTAAATAATTGGCACGTCTAGAAACCCGGCGTGTAAAGACCAGTTTCTAGACGTGTCAAGAGTTGGAATCCCATATTTCACGCAGTACAATGTCAAATTCGGGTATAATATTGGAGGAACCGTTGAAGTATAATGCTATTCATGATCGTCTGAAATATTATCTAGCAACGTTAGGTTTGGATGAAGGGGAGACCCCCCATAGCTTGAGGGCAGGATGTGCATTAACAATGGAACATGTACTTTCCGGGGCTGCAACATCCTCCTCGGAGGTGATGCGTCACGTAGGTTGCTTCACAGATGAAAGCGTACAATATTATACATGGGTAGGATTGCTAAAAGATTCTGAGAGTGTATCCAGTAGATTGGCAAAAGCTGTTGTAAATAATGACGAGCCAGAAAATATTTTTAGGCAACATACTAAATCTGTGCCAGCGTTTCAGCCATAAATTGTATAAAGTTTTTTGTAATAGTGTATGTGATGTATTGTAAAATAAATATATTAATTATGTCACTATGTTAATTTTGAGTTTGGAATCATAATTGTTATAAATGACAGTAAAATATTTTCGTTATTTAAGTATTGGGAGGAGAGAAGAGAATAAAAGGTTCATGTCACCACCAGAAGTGGTGACATATTGTATCATGATGCATGATATATCGAGTATATGCATACGCAACTGACATTTTGCCCCAAACCTTAATGTGAAGTACTGTTCGAAGTATATATGTCACTGTGGGAAGGGTACTATCCACAGTGACATCTATATGAAAACCAAGTACAATCAGTATCGAGTAATTTGTGGATTCGTGGAAGGGACTTTGTACCTGCTGGTGGAGGTGTTGTGAGTGTTTGTATATGCATGTTGATTAACTCACAGTAGTTAGTAATTGACATATTTTCCCGGCCCACCCACCCATGTTTGGGCATATGAAATAGATGGATGTGATCTAAACTGATCGGTACTTCACACAACATTTTGCCCCAAACCTTAATGTGAAGTACTGTTCGAAGTATATATGTCACTGTGGGAAGGGTACGTTCCAAATTGTAAAAGTTGTTCTAATATTTTGCGTGAATGAACATGTACGTGGTTAGTAATCCTATTTTCTCAACTGCTATAATTTATAACTAATTTTATTGAGACCCAATTAGTGTCAGCTAATTATGAACGCGCTTATGCAAATGTGTAATTGACTATACTTCATGTGAATGCGCATTATTGCGACAGATCTGATGAATGGATTATGAAAACGGTGCCGCGTATTATCAAGTCATACAAGAAGTTTGTTTCGAATTTTCGTGAAAGCTTTTTCAATGCATCGTAAAAATTTGAAATTGAAGTGAATGTGAAATCAAAAAGCAAAGGTCACTGATCATGTCTCTGAAAATAGAGCGGCTTTTTATTTTTGCACAACGACATTTCAGGGAAATTGACACGGAATAAAAGCAAACATGTTGTAAAATCATTACATTTTTCCGAAACTTAAGGGAACATGGGGCAAAATGGCCCATCGAAATATCTTTTGAAGTTTGAACTATTAAAGATGGTTCTTCAAAAGTGATCGGATTTTGAAATATTAATTACATATACAGATGGAGGCTAGGGTCATGGTTGGATTGTTGAATTGAAATTGATGTACATGTAGACATAACTGGTTTTGTGGTTTTAGGATTTATTTGTTTTGTTGTGTTTTTTATACGCATTGTAGAATATTTTACCGGGTGCACTTTGATGAAATGTCATGACCATGTGCTATTTTCAGATAAAAATAACTCGTTCCACACATCATCTACATCTTTCATTCTTGCACAAAAGATGCATTAGTGTACCTGTGCTGTAATTGAGGGTTGATAATTCTTCAGAATGTTTGAATAACTAGAATATTCAGTGGTATTCTTTTCAAAATTGCGGCTTAATGCGTATTGATATATGTTTGATCCGATCTCTGCCAGTAGCTGATTTTGCAAAAGGGGGTTCAGTTTCAAAATTTCAGGGGGTTCAGATTTGATCTTAATTGAACATACAAAACGTCAGCTGCCATTTGTTACATATGCCGCATGTCATTTGGTACAGACGCCAAACACCGTCCAAAAAGTTGGAGAAATATAAAAACCACTTTAAAGGAGGAGGGAAGTTAGCGCAACAGATTTTGGGCAGTCATATGTTTGATTTTGGCCATTTCCTGGGGATTTAAACAGGTGCATATGTTAGGCGAATGCATTACCTCCAGGAAAATCATTTCTAGAGATGATAAAATAATTTCGATTTTGAGACAGGGTAGATGCAAACAACCCACCCACATGTTTTTTCTGAAATGTTTTCCTGATTTTCAACCCCTTCCATCCTTGCTTTTTTAATTTTTCTTGCATCAATATGTTGCATTTTGACACACAGTTAATCCCTTAAAAGGAATAAATGATTCCTTTTAGATAAAGTGGAAAACAATATTTCCCATGTTATTTTCCCATAGGAAAAATCATTGCTTTCAGCTAAGTTTGGTCACCCATAATGGGTATCTTTAAAACCCCTGAAGGAATCACTTATTCCTTTAAAGTGGTTAATTATGTGTCAAAATGCAACATATTGATGCAAGAAAAATTAAAAAAGCAGGGATGGAAGGGGTCAAAAATTAGGAAAACATTTCAGAAAAAACATGTGGGTGGGTTGTTTGCATCTACCCTGTCTCAAAGTCGAAATTATTTTATCATCTCTAGAAGTGATTTTCCTGGAGGTAATGCATTGGCCTAACATAAGGAATTGTTTAAATCCTCAGAAAATGGCCAAAATCCAACATATGACTATCCAAAATCTGTTGCGCTAACTTCCCTCCTCTTTTGGTGGTGACATATAAACTGCATGATTTTGAATGATTTTTTGCCAGGGAGGGTATTCATATCTTGACCAATGAAATACAGTACATACACGTTCCAGTTTTCATGAATGATTTTATTGCACAACATTTGCAATGATATATGATTAACAAAGTTATTCAATAATACATTTACACTCATTTGTAAGAACTAATAAATTAAATTACAGCTAACTAAACACAAGACTTACAAATCAAAAATATTGTAGCTCAAAATCAAAATGGCGATTTTAAACTCTGCCCAGTATGTCCGAAATCATTTTTGTTTTAGATTTCAAATTTGAGTATTTCACGCTAAAAACATCCCAACCTATTCTTAAATTGTCTCTATTTTTCCATCTACTTTAACTAAATATATGAACAGTGCAGTATGTTAATAAATAAGCAGTGTTGCATTTAACAAGTGAATTTTTCAGATAAATATCTGAACTGAAAAAATAAAAACTTCTCAAAAATACTACAGAGAAGTGAATCAAGTTGGACGGATTCTTTAAAATGAATTTTTAATACTGTAACACAGTTTATTAAAATATAGAAACAAATATATTGGAACATTTTCTTGAAAAATACTGTGGATAACAATGTTTAATTTTCTACATAGTTTTACATGTAACCATAGAGTTTCACATGTACATGAAACTATTAGTTTCACATGTAACTATTGAGTTTCAAATGTAACTACATAGTTTCACATGTAACTACAGAGTTTAACTAGTTACTATTGAGTTTCACATGTAACTTTGGAGTCTCACATGTAACTATGGAGTTTCACAGGTAAAATACTGATTTACTTTCAGTTTAATCTGAATAAATATATTTCAGTAATTTTTTATATTTTCAATTTCATCCATGAAATATTCATGAACTTAAAAATATTTTGAAAATGACAAAACAAATCAAATAAGTTTAGAAGCATTTGTCTCAAAATAATAAGGGCATGTATGCCCGAAAAAGGTTCCAAAGCAGTTCTCTACAATTGCCTTTCTATTACTCTGAGATAAAAGGCCCCATGTAAAGTGGTATAAACTTTACATAGGGCCTTTAAGCATTGCTCATGGAACTATATACAAACTCGGAATGTACATGTAAATGAATTAGGCCATCAGCCTGGGGGGTTGGTCGGTATCAAATTAGGGGAATAATCGCCATAGTGATTTTTGGGAAGCTTAAGACCTCTAGAGTATGAAAATATGTGATAGCATTGCAGCGATTGTAGCTAAATGGGTGTTATCACCCATTTTTCAAAATGACCGCCGGTGAACATGTCACAATATAAGAGTGGGTATATCTAAGCACACTGAGATGCAAAAACTGTGATTTTAGGACCTATGTCTTGGTTTTAGGGGTCAAGGATTTCATTTATGTCTAAATCTAAGTTATCAAACAATTGCTTCTTATAGAAATCCAAGATGGCTGCCAAAATGGGTGCAAAAAAGAATGTAACTACTGTTAATGCTCAAGAAACACTCAAGAACAGTGATTTTTGAGTCTATGCCTATGTTTTAGAGGTCAAGGATTTGATTTATGTCTAAATCTGAGTCATCAAATAATTACTTTTCATAAAAATCCAAGATGGCCACCAAAATGGATGCCAAATCTAATATGTAACTATTGATTTAAACTCAAAGAACAGTTAAGAACAGTGATTTTGGAGACCATATCTAGGTTTTAAGGGTCAAGGATTTGACTTATGTCTAAATCTAAGTCATCAAACAATTACATTTAATAAAAAATCCAAGATGGCCACCAAAATGGCTGCCAGAATGAATATTCAACTATTGATTTAAGCTCAAAGAACAGTTAAGAACAGTGATTTTGGTCAAGGATTTTGGTCAAGGATTTCATTTATGTCTAAATCTGAGTCATCAAACAATTACTTTATATAGAAATCCAAGATGGCCACCAAAATGGGTGCCAAAATGAATATTTAACTGATTGATTTAAGCTCATAGAACAGTTGAGAACCGTGATTTTGGAGACAATGTCTAGGTTTAAGGGGTCAAAGATTTGACTTGTGTCTAAATCTAAGTCATCAAACAATTACTTTATATAGAAATCCAAGATGGCCATCAAAATGGGTGCCAAAATGAATATTCAACTATTGATTTAAGCTCAAATAACAGTTAAGAAGAGTGATTTTGGAGACAATGCCTAGGTTTTAGGGGTCAAAGGTTTCATAAATGTCTAAATCTGAGTCATCAAATAATTGCTTTTCATAGAAATCCAAGATGGTCACCAAAATGGGTGCCAATAACAAGTAAATTTGGATTTAAGCTGAAAGAACAGTTTATAACAGTAATTTGAGACCATGTCAAGATTTTTGGTGTCAAGAATTTCAGTTATGCCTAAAACTATAACTAATTCCTTCATTTGGATCCAAGATAGCTTTTATTTATTATCTAAACATATAGAGGAGTTAGAACATTAATTTTTGATATTTTAAGTTTGTGAGGTCAATGATTTTAATTTTGTCTTTAATAAAATCAACAAACATTTTATTTATATAGATATCCAAGATGGCCTCAAAAATGGCCACCAAAATGAATTCATATAACTATCCATTTAACCACATAGATCACCAAGAACAATAATTTTGGAAGCAATGTTTACTTTAAGGAGGTCAAGAGTTTCAGTTATCTAGAGCCATGCCATGAAACAATCTGTGATTAATATCAGAATTCAAGATGGATGCCAAAGTGTTAATATTATAAAAGGTCAAATAAGAACAAACAATTACATGAACATTTGCGAAATAAAATCTTAGGTATAATCATCGCATTAGCAATATTACTGTAATTTGCTATTCTTTCCCTTAGTTTTGTGGTGGCTCAGTATCATAAACATTGACTATAGAAAGAAGTAGACTGCCCATAGGAAGAAGTAGATTATTGGATGGAGAAGATCAAGCACAAGAAATTCCTCAAAGAAAAGTGTATCATACACCAGAAAGAGTTTGATGAAGATAAACATTTTAGTCAGTCCTCAAAATTGTGACTCTGCAGCCATTTTGATGGCCATCTTGGATATCAAAATAAAGGAATTATTTTATGACTTAATTATAGACAGAAGTGAAATTCCTGGCCTCTTAAACCTGGACATGATCTCCAAAATCACTGTCCTTAACTGTTCTTTGAGCTTAGATCAATAGTTACATATTCATTTCAGCACCCATTTTGGTGGCCATCTTGGATTTCTACAAAAAGTAATTATTTGATTACTTATATTTAGACATATATGAAATCCTTGGCCCCTACAAAATAGACAGATGCTGGAATTACACCATGCGTTTTAGAAAGGCGCCTAAGGTTTTAACCCGGTTTGAAAAATAGGTATAATCACTATTGCAGTTTTACAAAAGCGCTTTTCAAAACTCCTAGAACCCTAGTCACTACAAAACGACTTAAATCATTAGCCGCTTTTGGAGTGTAGTGTAATACCGATCGGTTTTTTAAAACGCCCTACCTGGGTTTTTACCATTTGCCCTAAACAAAATAAGACATATTTCCAATGCTACACATTTGGGCCACCGCAAAAATACAGGAAATGATGGATGGGAGCCAAAAGATGCAATAGGTCATCAAATCATATCGCAAAAATTGAAAGTAAGTTCACATCACTGGCAAAAGTCTCGGTTACATTTTCTTTTAAATGCTAAAAGAATACATTTATTGTAGATGTACACATCTGCTGGATATTCTCCATATCTACATTGTTAAAAGTGCCTGAAAGGCGTTTTAAAAATGACAGGTGTAATTTCAAAATAAAATTCCTAAGGCGCGTTAGAATTGTTGATGTAATCAGGATTGCGATTTTGTAAAGCGCTTTCCACTAAAGCGCTTTTAGCGGTTTTCTGTTGTAATTCCAGCAAGAGCCTCCAAAATTACTGTTCTGAACTGTTCTTTTAGCTTACATCAATAGTTACATATTCATTTTGGCATCCATTTTGGTGGCCATCTTGGATTTCTATAAAAAGTAATTGTTTGATGACTTAGATTTAGACATAAATGAAATCCTTGACCCTTAAAACCGAGACATGATCTCCAAAATCACTATTCTTTGAGCTTAGATCAATAGTTACATATTTGTTTTGGCACCCATTTTGGTGGCCATCTTGTATTTTTATGAAAAGGTAATTATTTGATGACTCCGATTTAGACATAAATGAAATCCTTGACTCTAGAACTGTTACATAATCTCCAAAATCACTGTTCTTAACTGTTCTTCGAGCTTAAATCAATGGTTACATACCGGTATTCGTTTTGGCACCCATTTTGGTGGCCATCTTGGATTTCTATAAGAAGTAATTGCTTGATGACATAGATTTAGACATAAATGAAATCCTTGACCCCTAAAACCCTAACATAGGCCCTAAAATCACAGTTTCTGCATCTCAGTGTGCTTAGATATACCCACTCTTATATTGTAACACGTGCACCGGCAGCCATTTTGAAAAATGGGTGATAACACCCATTTAGCTACAACTGTTGCAATGCTATCACATGTTTTCTTACTCTAGAGGTCTTAACCTTCCCAAAAATCACTATGGCGATTATTCCCCTGATTTGATACCGATAACCTAAATTTTGGGGTGAAGCTGATGGCCTAAATAGGTCATCTGTTAAACAAATTTGTAATTATATAATTAACAGAATGGAAAAGGAGAATTAATGGAAGAACTTAGTAGCATCAAAAATGAGCCATAAGAACTTTATAAGTACAGCATAAGTACATATGCTAAAATGTTTAATTAGGATTTTGTTAAATCTGTAGCCTTGCCCAAGTCGGTCTCTTTTACTTAACTTGATTTCTATGGTAATAATTCAAGATCAGATAATTAAAAAATACTGACTTGGGCAAGGCTATTAAATCTGCAAAAGCAGAAAATATCACAACTAATGGACATTTTAGAGTGTTTGTATTAAATAGTGAGATCATATTTGATCAATCAGATAATTTTGGTGATCAATAAGATCATTTGGTGGATTCATTAAATCACTTTGATGATCAATAAGATCATTTGATGGATTCATTAAATCACTTTGTGGTCAATAAGATCATTTGGTGGATTCATTAAATCACTTTGTTGATCAATAAGAATAAGATCATATGATGGATTCATTAGATCACTTTGTTGATCAATAAGATCATTTGGTGGATTCATTAGATCACTTTGATGATCAATAAGATCATTTGGTGGAATAATTAGATCACTTTGATGATCAATAAGATCATTTGGTGGATTCATTAGATCACTTTGATGATCAATAAGATCATTTGGTGGATTCATTAGATCACTTTGATGATCAATAAGATCATTTGGTGGAATAATTAGATCACTTTGATGATCAATAAGATCATTTGGTGGATTCATTAGATCACTTTGTTGGTCAATAAGATCATTTGGTGGATTCAATAAATCACTTTGTTGATCAATAAGATCATTTGGTGGATCAATTAGATCACTTTGATGATCAATAAGATCATCTCTTGGATTCATTAGATCACTTTGATGATCAATAAGATCATCTGGTGGGTTCATTAGATCACTTTGATGATCAATAAGATCATTTGGTGGATTCATTAGATCACTTTATTGATCAACAAAATCATTTTTGTGATCAATGAGATCATTTGATGGATTCACTAGATCACTTTGTGATCAATCAGATCTCTTTCTATCGATCAACTGAATCATTTGATGAATGATAAAGATCAGCAGTTCACTTTAATTACTTGTTGGACCACTTCATGTATCAATGATACACTGATACATCAAAACATTGATACATCATGTTGGACCAACAGGACCATTCAGAAGATATTATGGCGACAGCTGACAGAGAGACCAAATATTGTCAATCGGCCAAATCCCAGTTTATGATTGCCATGGTGACAGCTGACTGAGAGACCAAATATTGTCAATCGGCCAAATCCCAGTTTATGATTGCCATGGTGACAGCTGACTGAGAGACCAAATATTGTCAATCGGCCAAATCCCAGTTTATGATTGCCATGGTGACAGCTGACTGAGAGACCAAATATTGTCAATCGGCCAAATCCCAGTTTATGATTGCCACTTCTTATCTAACCCGAGTCATCATTGTAAAATACACAACTTTCACTAATCCTTCAGTTGTCATCCTTTACTGTATAACCAGGGAGATCTGATTAATTGCTGGAAAATATCGAAAGTTCATCGAAAGTTGTTGTAAGGTCCACGATTAATCCCGACTGATCCTGCCCTCTGGTGGTTGCGGATTGGAGTCTGACCTCGGAACCCTCCAGTCTGCAAGCAGAATGAAAGTATGGTAACAACAAAAGTATGGTAACAACTCTGTAGAAACAACACAATGACGCCATGACAACAACATGATGTTGTTGATTTACAACATCTATACCATAAACAATGCAATTATTAAAGTACAATATCTCAAAATATAAATGTTCAATTCTAATTCTGAATTTTACAAGTTTAATACACAAATCTTATATTTTGGGGAACAGCTTATTGCTATAAACGGTGAAGCTATATACAAAATGAAATAGAAATACCATAAATCATTACATGCATTTACATTTACAAAATGCCTAATATGAAATAATCATTAAAGCTAATTAAAGGGTCAACAAATATTAACTGATTAAAGAGAGTGTAAAACATTGGAAGAAATCAGACCCTTAGCCAGGGGGTGGGGGTTTGGGGGCTCAAAAAGTCTTCGAAATCATGTAATTTTCACCATTCTGAGAACTTTTCAAGTGATTTGGGGCAAAAGATGTCAGATATGAACCCCCATGGATTCTTTTTTGAAAAGTGAACCCCCTTGGCAAAAGCTAGCTATGGGCCTGAAATCTTTTCAGAAAGCATATCAATGTTTCTTCTTATTTCATTTTCTGAAAAAATGATTGAGATGTTCAATGTTATCGGCAATTTAAATGTAGACTTAGCTGAATTCATTAGACTTGAAAATAATTGAAAAATCCTAAAATAAAATTAGAACTTTTTTTAATACGAAGTTGAAAGATTTTAAAACCCTTTAAGAAAAACTAGCTTAATATACAGAGACATGGTGTATCTAAGATGCATAAAATAAATGCTAAAAGGTAAGAAATGAAAATTATTAAATCAATATATAGCTGAAAGAAAGGACAAAGACAAAAGTGCTTATCTTTAGATAGGGTTCATGACCTCCAGTGAGAAGTATGGGGAAGAATCACATCTTGTGAAGCAGAAGTGGATAAAATTAATATATTCAATTCTAGTAAAATGTTTTAAAAAGTAGTCAATGGTAAAATTAACAAAGCAGGACAAGTCAGAGGGAGGGAGCAGAGGGTGGGAGCAGGCCTAAAAGCATTGGCATCATCATTTTTTTTATTTTAAGGCCTGGAGAGTGTCAGTATTCAAGGGTTATGCCTTGGTCACATATGCTCCGATCCATTGGCCAGCGCCCGGCCGGTTGAGTGTTTTGTTCAATATATTGTATTCAATTTTGAACAAAATACTCAATCGGCCGGGCGCCGTAGTGAAAATTGGATCAAATGTGACCAAGGCATTAGGAGTGTCAATTTTTAGCTTGGGTGTCCATTTTGAGATAATTTTGTTACTGCATTTAGTTACATGCTACTACATTACATGTTACTATGGTACATGTTACTATGTAACATGTTGCTATGTTACTAAGGTAACACATTACTGTGTTACAATGTCGCAGTCCTTACATAAGCATTAATATAAGCATTTGCTGACTGTTGCTCCTGTTTTAAGAACTGTTGCCATTGTTCTTCTGATTGTTGGGGCAACGGTTGCCCTGGATACCGTTGCTTTGGTGTCTCCTCCTGACTTTCAAGATCCTATTGTATGCATTAATCAAATCAAACATTAAACAAATCAAACATCACTCAAATCAAACATTTCGAAAATTAAAGCAGGCAAAGTAAAATATGTATGAAATAAATCACATGACAATAACTTTCTAAAATTGGTTGCCTTGGACATGTTGGAAATCATGCCATTACAGTAAAAGACTGGACTTCAATATTTTTCTAATTTAATATTTTAATTATCATGGTTTCCGTAGTGACAATAATATCTATTCAGGAATTTCTTAAAATTCATTGATGAGATAGTCTGGGGCCCATTCTCGTACCATTCGTAGTAACTAACGTTCGCAATTCATAAATATATTAATATTTAGTGTTGACTAACTCGCGGGGATTTTTGGAATCGAGTAATTCGCGTGATTTTGAGTCTGAGATCGAATAAGAATCGCGATTTTTCATCAAAAAAATAAACAAGAAAAAATCTTACCATTGCATGTCATATGGTCGTTTTTTAGTCCTTTTTTCAATGTTGTTCACTTGCAAAATACCCTAGGTACGCTAGGTATATCAAGAGTTGTCCATATCTACCGATTTAAAGGTGCAATAATTAGTGCAGAGGGGTCATTCAATGATCATGGACCAGTGTCAAAATATATTTAAGTTTGGATATTTCATCAAGACTAACATCTATTTTTATTATCTACAAAGAAACCCCCTAGATAAACATTATATTAGCCGATATTCCTCTTGAAACATGGTGGATCTTAAAAATATAAAAGTGGAAGTCCCCTTTTTGAAGCTTTGAACTGAATTTACACTTCTTAATGCTAAAATTGATAATTTATCCATACATTTTAAGAAAATAGGTATGTCAAAGAAGATGTTAAACCAAATGTTGCCTTGATAGCTCAGAAAAAATGAAAAAACTTTCCTATTTTCTCGACAGTCCTTATTGCCCCTTTAAATAACATACTTACGATTAATTACGACAAAAATTGAAATATTGTTTATTTTATGTTTCCCGCCACACATTGTTGCAGCACTTTCATTTCCGGTTCTACGGACTGAATTAATCATGGAATTAAAAAATAGACTCAAAAATATTTCATTTAAATTAGATTTATTACTCATATTCATTCAAATAAAAACAAATGATACACGGAACAATCATTTGTACATAGTTTCACCCTGTTTGTAAGAAAAAAACAATGCATTTGATGTCAGGATTCGCTGTGAAATCGCGAATACGAATACAAATTCGCGAGTCTCAGACTCGTGTAATAATTCGCGAAATCTGAACTCCTAATCGAGCCGAATTCTATAACACCTTGGCGAGACGATTCGATGACTACGTGAGTACTTATCTACACCACTATTAATATTCATAAATAATTTAGTGATGAGTTACGAATTCATAATTTTACTAATGGACCATTTCTGCAACTTTAAGAAATTCGCAAAGGATCGTGAGTTGTTTCAATACACTTAAAAACACTTTATTGACTAAAAGATTGCACCATATAATCCTAAAAAATATTTCACAAAATGCATGAAAAAACTGCCCCGATTCATTCTACAAACAAGTCGCAGTCCTTTAACAATGGACTTATGAACATTCATTACTACAAACGGTACAAGAACAGGCCCCTTCAGTGCAATTAACTCAAACCTGTTTTATGGTAAAATTACCAAAATATGTTAGACACTGCATTCCTTAATATCAATTCAAAACTTTTAAAATACAAGAACTTTCAAAATTCATCAAATAAAAAATAACAACGAAAAAAGTTATTGGTAAATTGCTAAGCATCAAAAAAGTATGTAAAACCAATTACACTGTATGTATTATTGTTGACAATAAATTAAATAAAAAAAAATAAAAAACAAAAAGTAAATGATTTAGTTTTGTGTAATAGCTACTCCCCCAAATCAGTTCAATAAGAATGATTAATATAAATCCATTATTTAAGGATGAAAATTTGATTTAATCATGTAAAATCAACATTTAACTATTATTCACAATCAAAATTAAATCTTTTTTCTAAAACTGATAATACTTGGTCAAAATTCTGAACAACAAAGCGAAAAGATAACAACTAAAGTGTGCAAAAGATTTTTTTGTTTTCTAAAGCATCACAAGGTTTCTTGAAAAACCTAATTGTTTCTACAGGGTGTCAAATAAATATGTTCCCCCCCCCTTAATTTCAAGAGAATGAATTTTTGTGCATAAAAGTGCATTTAGTTGAGCTAGTCATCTGAAACTTCTTGTGGAGTTGCTCCATGAAGCCTAGTTTTTATGCGCAAAAGAACAATTCAGATATCATGCAGACAAAATAGTTATGCAACATTATGTGGATGTTCAAGCTAAGGAGGGGAGAACATATTTATTTGCCAACCTGTAGAACCACTTTGCTATTTTATTGAAGAAGTGCAATATTTCTATATTAATTACAACCTTTTTAGAAGCAATTTACTTTTTCTAGGAGCACCACAATGTTTCTAAAAGCACCACAAAGTTTTTGAAAGCACCACAATATTGTATAAACACCACAATGTTTAATCATCCATCAAAATGATTCTAGAAACACCACAATGATTTAGAAATAACAAAATGTTTCTAGAAACCCCATTACCAGAATCAAAACAAGGCATAAACATGCAAAATGTCACCACCTGCCATTTATTACAGATGCCTAACACTGACCATTGTCCACAAAAAAGTTGAGAACAATATGTCACCACTTGTGATGGTGACATCAATATGTCACCACTTGTGGTGGTGACATAAAAACTGGATGGTACACTAAATATGCAAACCAATCAAATCTTGTTTCTAGAAAACTTTATGAATTATGCTTCATGAATTCATTGATCGTACAATTTATTAATACTTCTGAAGTTGATTCTTTATATAAGGCAAATGAATTTCACAATCAGTCATAATTTTTTTAGAAACAGTCTACAGAATAATGTGCAACAATACTTTGAAGATTGTAAAAAAATCTGCAACTTACGTATATATGAGTATCATTGCGAGACTCAGGAAAAGCCTTTTGCTCTGTAACTGAAAGAAAGATTTTTTAAATGTTTCAATTTATTTATCCCCATGTAACAAATAAGGATATATATTTTATACATTCATATAGCCATGCATTATCTGCATTTTTGTCAAGACTGCAACTTGAATTCAAAATATATTGTTACCATTCAAAAGATGACCATTAAATTGACAATGAGTAAAATTTTCAGAATTTTTGATGACTGGTTTAAGAGAAATGTGTGTTCAAAAGTTCGCCATATCGATACCCATCCTTTAAATCAACTTACTTTTTAAGCGCTCATTGAGTCTTTCTAAAGATTGCATCAGTCTCTGTTCCTCTATTGATATAGCGGTAGGCACTGAAATAAAAATAAATATAATTGAATTAAATAATTAATATTTTATATTTAAGTAAACAGAAGTCACTTTTATATCCAAAATTATCAATTATACAATTTTCTTAAAATTTTTAGCAAACAACCAAGAGAAAAAGTGGTAGCAGCTTAAGAGAAAATCTGAAAAATGAGTTGTACATGTATATGTGTCAGTGTCACCCTCCCTCCTTTCCTCTCTAACTCTTCCTATTTTAAGCTTTCCCCCTCCTTTTCTTATTCACCTTCCCTCCCTTTCTCCCCCTTTCCTTTTCTTGCCTCCCTTCTTGTTTACTTCCTTTTCTCCCTGCCTTCCTCCTTTTCTGACTCATTTCTCAACCTTTCCTTCCCTTTCTGTCTCCCTTATTTTCTACCCCATTTCCTTATCTAATGCCCCTCCTTTCCTTTCTCCCCCTTTCCTTATCTAATGCCCCTCTTTTCCTTTCTCCCCCATTTCCTTATCTAATGCCCCTCTTTTCCTTTCTCCCCCATTTCCTTATCTAATGCCCCTCCTTTCCTTTCTCCCCCATTTCCTTATCTAATGCCCCTCCTTTCCAATCTCCCCCATTTCCTTATCTAATGCCCCTCCTTTCCTTTTTCCCCCATTGCCTTATCTAATGCCCCTCCTTTCCAATCTCCCTCATTTCCTTATCTAATGCCCCTCCTTTCCAATCTCCCCCATTTCCTTATCTAATGCCCCTCCTTTCCTTTTTCCCCCATTGCCTTATCTAATGCCCCTCCTTTCCAATCTCCCCCATTTCCTTATCTAATGCCCCTCCTTTCCAATCTCCCCCATTTCCTTATCTAATGCCTCTCCTTTCCTTTTTCCCCCATTGCCTTATCTTATGCCCCTCCTTTCCAATCTCCCCCATTTCCTTATCTAATGCCCCTCCTTTCCAATCTCCCCCATTTCCTTATCTAATGCCCCTCCTTTCCAATCTCCCCCATTTCCTTATCTAAAGCCCCTCCTTTCCTTTCTCACCCTCCCTCTTCAGTTCTTTCCTTCTTTTTTTGTTTCACCTTTCGTCTTCTCAATGGTATGATTCCTACCTTTTTCTTTAGGGTGAGTAGAATTTAGTAGAAGTTGTTTACTTTGAGCAAGGTCAACTGCATGATTAATTTGACTTTCACTGACATTCTGAGCAGTCATTGCTTCTGCAGCTAGGAACCCAGCCAGACTTTCTGTAACTGTAAACAATAATGACTTGTGAACATACATGTATGTAAACAATATTAACACATGAAAACAATTCAAACATGTGTAAACAGTAAATGATACATAAACTCCTAAAATATGTAAAAAACATACACATGAGAATGAAACAACACGATTTTTTAAGAAAGGGTCCGAGACATCATATAAAAAGATGGCGCTACCTTCTGTATTGTTTGCTCCATTTGTTGCTGAGTTAGGGTGCGTCACTGAATTCTGCGATCCCATTGGTCGATAGCTTGTATACTGAGTGACAGTATACTGGCCTTGACCTTGGTTTCGTCCTGGATCACGTGACGTTAACGTAGCTGGCTGCTGCCCCTGTTGAAGCCTTCTATGTTGTAACAAGCTATGACGCGGTTCACTTGTGGTTCTACGTCGTGGAGGGACCGCAACGTTATTGTTCAATTCTTTGTTACCAATTCTTTGCACGGTTCGCATTGCAGATGAGGGAATGTTTGCACCATCCATAACCTTGAATCAAAAAAGTGACCAATTGATAAACTTACCCCCCACAATCAGTGTGTCCTTCAAAATTTTTTATTTTTTTATCTCTTTTTTCAAAAACTCATATATATATAAACATGTATAATTGTAAACAAATCCAATTGTATTGTAATAACTCTATACTGAAATAAAAAAATAAAATAAAAATAAAAAAAGTGACAAGGATCCATTTGTGATTGTAATTTTTAAGAATTATATTGGGAGTGGTTTTGAAGGTTGTGATTAGTCAGGAAATTAACAAGTATTCATTTGAGATGAAAAAGATTACTACTAAGGGCCTATTTCTTAGACTTTTGTGATTACAGTAAAATACTTCATACTTCAATACTTCATTAATGTAAAAAACAATTGAATAAACGAAGAGCCCAGGTCCATAGCGGGGAGGGGAGTTTAACCATTCTGAGAACTCTACGAGTGGAATTTTTTGAAAAGTGAACCCCCGTTGACAAAAGAAATTAGCACAGCAAAAATGTTTACCTTTGTTGCTATGGGAGTCTTATTGTTAACTGGTCCTGATTGGTCGGAACTAGCCTGTTCACTATCTTCCTTGTCGCGATTCAAACACGTCCTTACTTTATCCCAGAGCCAGTTAATCTCGTCATCTGTCGGAGTCCTGTCAAGTCTGATACCATTGGTTCCGTAGACAGCAGATTTTGGTTCACTGTCACCTGTAAATAAAATGGTGTGATAAAATAATATGTTGGTGTGATACACTATTATGATGTAATTTTAGAATGTCATGTTGTGGAAATATAGTGGTGAATATAAAAAAAATGTGAATATGGTGTGATTATATATTATTGTAATGTGATTATATAATGCAATGGTGTGATAAAATAATGTGTTGGTGTGACACACTATTATGATGATATTTTAGAATGTCATGTTGTGGAAATATAATGGTTCATATAAAAAATATGAATATGGTGAGATTATAATATACTATTGTAATGTGATTATATAACACAATGGTGTGATAAAATAATATGTTGGTGTGATACATTATTATGATGTAATTTTAGAATGTCATGCCGTGGAAATATAATGGTTCATATAAAAAAAAATATGAATATGGTGTGATTATTATATACTACATGTATAGTAATCATAATGCAATTGTATAACGTAATGAGAAAAGAGAATATAATGGTGTTATAATATACTTTTGTGAAACTGAATAGAATAATGACAAGGCATTAACATGAAAAATGTCACCAAATAGCATTTGTAACAGACCCCAACCACCAACCAACAAACACTGCCAACCACAAACCAACAAACACCAAACACTGACCGCCATACACTACAAAATTAGAGACTATAACACAGTGTCACCACTTTTGGCGGAGAATGAATGGTATATACCGGTACAAGGGTTATGTACTGTGAGGTTTTGGATACAGGGTGTATCCCAAGGGAAATATGTGTATCTCCCGAGGGACCGCAGGGACAATAATGAATGGTATATACATGTAGTTAGTGTATAGAAAAAAATGTAGCTATTTCCAAACCTTTGACTGCAGCTGCATAGGATTTCTCCTGAACATTCACTACACTTGCTTTGGGAGCAGGGGCACCTGCAAATGCGACTTTACTGGTCGGAGTAGGGATCCCTGAAGGTTTATGCCGAATCGTTCCTGCACTGAAAGCCCTGGGAGCCCGGGGGTCAGCCTTAGGGGTGGCACTTGAGACTTTAGCTGAGCAAGGCCTTGGTTTTTGGGTGACAGATTTTGAAGCTATAAACAAATATATTCAAAATCATATTTTTAATTCATTTACATGGCATGGGCATTATTCTTTATTTATATAAATGCTGTATAAGGTTTTCTATCTATTTACTGACTGGCCTGGTGTCTTTAAACTTTTATCATACTGTAGCTAAAAACAAGAGGAAAAAGTTCAGTAAACCCACTTAGGAAATCCCAATGTTCCAATTCAAATCTTTGGGTTCCACCTTGTGGGAAAATTCTCAGAATGCTGAATGGACAAAAATGTCAGGTTACATTAGGCCTTAGGAGCCTGATGGGTACCAACTTCTAAAAAATCTGAGGGTAACTTCTTGAGAAAAACTCAAGAAGAACACTGCATCAACCTACCCATGTTTTGAGAGTCTGTATGTGGTCTGTGAGTGTTTTGTTGTATTAGTGACGATGTTTCTTCGTCATCTTCATCACTTTCTTCTTCGTCACATATCTCATCTGCCCATCTTATACCTCTTCTGGTCTTGGCCTGATAAAAAAAACAATACAATAATATTCGTCACATATCTCATCTGCCCATCTTATACCTCTTCTGCGCTTGGCCTGATTAACAAAGATTACAATAATATTTGTCACATATCTCATCTGCCCATCTTATACCTCTTCTGTGCCTGGCCTGATAAACAAACAATACAATAATATTTGTCACATATCTCATCTGCCCATCTTATACCTCTTCTGCGCTTGGCCTGATTACAATATATTTCATGTGCAATTTGGCTGAAAGTAGATGCAAAAAGGAAGGTTTTATAAATTCCATTGTCTAAATACATGTATTAAGTAAGCCTTGCTATTAAGGTCAACACCAGGAAACAACAGGAAAGACTGATATTTCATGAAAAAACATTCAAAGAACATGTTTATCTCTGATTAACATCGATTACTTTTACCATTTCATGTGAACGGAAAAGGAATAAGGGACACATCAGAAAAAATGAACTTTTTAATTTTGTCTCGCTTCTAGATAAAAAATTAAAAATAATGAAAAATCAAGTCTTAATGCATCAAATCACCAACAATTTTTTTCTCCATGTATTTTCCTGCACAAAGCCAAAATAAAAAGAGGAACTTTGGGAGGGGGTAATACGGAGACTTAATGCAAGGCTTCACTGAACAGATGGTCATACAGGCCCATTGCCAGGATTTTCCAAGGGGGCTTCACTTTTTGAAACATTCCAGGGGGGTTCACTTGTGACAATTTTGGTTCGAACCCCCCCCCCCCCCCTGGCTACTGGCCTGTCATATACATGTACTTACATTATCTTTCTGCTTGTGGTCTTTGTACAAGTCTATACTGTCTCTTATACCAAACTGAGACCTAGGGGCGGGTGGGGGACGACGTGATCCCTGGGGTTTCAATATTCCCTTCACTGGGGTTGATTGAGCACTAGTCGACCCTACAGATTCTTGGTCACTATCATTAGCCAGCTGGTCTTTATAAAACTCTTTAATATTCTCCAGTTTAGGTTTTGGTTCATTTGATTTTTTCGGCGTAGTTTTAACTGCTTTTGCATTTGTAACAGAGTCATTTTTGTTTGTTACATTTGTATCTATGGCACTTTTGGTTGTATTGTTGCTATAGTCATCATGGTTGTTATGACTACTAGGATTACTATATTTACTGTCAACAGTTGAGGTTTCAGTGGGTGGGGGTATCACCCAAGCTTTATGCTGGGCACTTTGGTATGATAATTTAGCAGTTGTCGGCTCCGCTGATTTTTTGCTGAGTTCTTTTTGTATGACATCAGTTTTTACTCCGGTGCGTCGTAATGACAGTGAACCTCCTCTCCCTGGCCTGTAACTCCCACCCCCTTGGCTAGGTTTATGAGGTGGAGGTTTAGGCTGGTGGGGTGGTATCTCAGTAGCCCTTAGGGGTTGTTTACTGTCAGGGTCCACCCACCCCCAGGTCTGACCACCTTGGGGGTCAGCTGCGCCATCTCCTTCTTGTCTAGCACCATGGACCTCACCCCCAGGTTCTCTGCCTGTGGGGGTGACATAATATGCATTAGTGTTTGTATGGGCGGGATTCACAATTACTGGTTTAGTCCCTCCAGCAAACCCCATCTGGTTCTTACTTCCCTCGGGATAGGGTTCACTACCTGGTACAAGGTTATCCCGAGACTTTATATTTTGATGACTCGATGCACGATTTACTCCATAATTGTTGGTATTATCATTTTGAAGAGTTCCACTGTACAAATTACTATCAGAACTAGTTTCTCTCATTTTCACATCGGCCTGTCTGATTTTTCCTTGAGATCGACCTTTAGTTCTTGAATCAACCACTAGGGGGCTACCTGTTAGGGATGGATCATTTTGTACAGTCTGTCCAGCAGAGCTGTTACTAGTTTGAGTATATTGCAGGTTATTTGAGTAAACAGTTGGAGTTGTACTTTGTGTAGATTGTTTAGATGGCCCACTGCTAATTGTAAAACTATTATTTAAGCCATTTTGAAAACCCCTGTTTTGGGGACCGGTCATATTTTGTTGAACTGAATCTGGGGGTTCCTTTTCAGGTTCTACTTCTAGACTGTCCATGCTACATGGGGAATCCTCTCTTTCTGGACTCTCATCTTCTCCATCCACAATAACTGCTCCCTCCATATTAGGTCCCTCTGACCTTTGACCTTGGGAGATTATCTCAGAACCATTGATTTCAGACATGATAGCTGCACTGAAATCATGCAGAGACTGTTGCTGATTTTGAGAAAATTGCCGTTGTTGCTGCTCTAACTGTTGCTCAAATAAACTCTTACTATTTGAAAGATTGCGTAAACTACGATTATGTAATTCAGTTGTTCTCGATGCTACATCCCTGGCGTAGTCCTGGGTGCGAACCATTTGACCACTTCCTGAATTATGTGGCCTCTCGGGATCATTGTACCCCCGAGTTTGGTCTGTGTATCCCTTGGCCTTCTGTTTGTACTTATTCATTGGAATCTGCTCGGGTGGTTGCCTAACATGTTTGTGGACAGAATTGCCTCTGATGGCTTTTAAGGCATCCTCTAAAGCGGGTGGATGGTTATCTAGCAGACTTCCTGGAATAATAAACATAATTTGATTTAAAATATTGCATATAGGAAAACTTAACAAGGCATTAACATGCAAAATGTAACCACCTGCCATTTGTTACAGCACCAGCCCACTGCTGCACACTGTTAAAAAGGTTGGAGTCTATAACAATATATCGCCACTTGTTGTGACATAAAAATTGGTCCTCTGTGTAGTCAAATGTACTAAAATAAACCAAAGAAACCTCTTGTGAAGCCTTTTAACAAAATTTATATGCATTCATTGTATGATATCATACATCATTTTATATTTCTAAAATTTTATATTTTACATTTGCAGCACTGATGCAAACTTCCTTCTCATATTTCTCCAAAAAATAAATACATTTACATTTTGCATGTATGCTAAAAGTTCCCCCCCATCCACATTGACTTTAACATAAGTATCCATAAATTCAATATTCATACCTTCATCATTACATGTAGCAAGATCATCACCTGTGTACCCACGATTCCCTCTCTGGAACCGTTCTGTTACTTCTTTTTGCTTCAGGCGACGATTCTGAAGAATCTCTTGACGTCTTTTTTCTTCCTTCTTCGCTACAAGTTTGCGTTTCACCTCCTGGGCTCTGCAAACATTGAGTATGTATTAAACAATCAGTAATATATATATAATAAATAATGAGTATATATTAAAGCTGCCTGCTTCGAAAATGCAATCTTGGGTTGTTCCCAGGGTTCCGTGTGATGTTTTGAGCTATAGTGAGAGAATAAACAATAATAAACGCATGAGGAAAATGCTGTGCAACAATACTCACGATAAAGGTATTATTATGATTGGTCCTTCGATTGCTCGGATGATCGGCCGGCCATTTGATTTTTCGAAGATTTCTAAATTTAGAATGTCACGTGAAGCTAATTAGAAGTTTAGATAAGATCTGTAAAATTACTCCCACTACAAAGTGATGTCAGGGTAGTACACTGGTAGAATGCTCGCCTAGAAAGCGAATGTCTCGGATTCGAATCCCTGCCTGGTTTTTAATTTTTTCTAAGTATATAGTTGTCTTTGATTTTAAGCTTACAAAACATTTTAACGACGTCAACTTTATATTAAAACATTTATCATCTTGTCAGTTGTATGAAAATGTAAAAAATAATATATGTCAGCTTATTCCCTTTTCGAGAACAGTCAAGGTTTAAACAATCTAGATTCTATCAGTGCTCAAGATTTCAAAGGTAATTTTATAAATTGCAGAATCTACTATCTTTGTGGCTTTGGTGCATGTTTTTCAAATGAAAACTTTGCACCCACTTGAGGGAAAACTGAGTTTGGTATTTTTTAGTAGAATTGATAAATGTCTCAGATCATGGGCAACTTTTGGTGGACACACCACATATTTTAAACAGTTGATTTTTCAGAGATTTTTTCTGTCTTTGACTGAGTGGTTCACGACTCCTATAAAAGGCTGTGTAGCCGTGCACATAAAAGAACACAGGGCTCCTCCAGGGAGGGGTTTCTGGCTCTTTTTTCGAGTGTAAAATACGTAAAATACGGAATATACCAATGAGGTATTGCTCTCCAAATATGGGGGTAACCAAGATACAATACAAAAAGACAGACATCAAGACAGACGAATGGTGAAAACTGAAGGGCTTTTTAAAAGAAACATAAAACAAACCTTCGCCTGCGATTAGTTTCATCTTTTAGTCTTCTGGTACGTTCGATAACATCATTCTGCTTTTCTTGTTCCCGCAGATGATCAATCTGTTCTTTTTGTAACGCTCGAAATTTGGAGCTTAGATACAGTTAAGGATATCATTTTAATGATTTTTTAAGAGGCATTAGGAGTAACAGTACATTAGAAACATATGTGTATATATGCAGATCTGATGGTAATTTGTTGATAGTGTGAAAAATTTGAAGTTGCCTAAAAATTATTTTTGAAACTCAAAATTGTTTAAAATATACAGATTTATTTAGCCTAAAGGGGTGTATACACTGGCAGGCGAAATGCTTGAAACGGGGGCGAAAAGGCTAAAATGCTTGAAATAGTTGAAATGAAAGAGAATGTGAAAACAGCTTAAGGCGAATTGATTGAAATGCTTGAAACGGCGAAACAGGCCCAAGCAGCACAACAGTAATTTCATTTTTTAAGACGTTATCGATTGAATTGATTGAAACAGCTGAAAAGTCCCGGCGAAATGCTTGAAACAAAAAATGTGCATGTTTGTTTTTCTTTTCAATCGTTTTGTCCATTTCTTCCTGAATGGGTCTTGTGATAAAATGCTTGAAACAGCAAAACGGGCGAAAACAGCAAAACTTTAAATTAATTTCAAAAGGTGAATCGATTGAAAATGACGCAAGCATTGAACATAAGAAATGATGCATGCATTGAAACGATTGAACTGATTGAAACAAGTGAAACCATTGACACACTATTCACAGTGTATACAGGGCTTAGTAGAGACTTTCTACCCCTTCAGCTTACAATCCATTTTATGTTGCTGTAGGCTCCTGGGTGTAGGCTCTTCTCTGTTACTAAAACACCAAGGCTAGTTTTTGATACAACTTCGTAACCCAGACACTCCCCTTGAACACACTCGTTTGGCCAATTATTCCATTTGTGAGTTCCTGTGATAGTCTAAGCAACATTTTTCTAATTGAAAGCCCATGTTTCACCAGGGCTACATTCTTTCGACAATCTAGTAAGCCCAACAAATCTGAATCTCTGTCCTGAACAAAAATCAGACTCCGTTTCTGGGTAATATCTTTGTAATTAATTTCTCTTTGCATGACAACTGTTTTCCAAATTCATGGGCTTGAATGAATTTTCGTCGAAAAATTTCAAGTCTTCTCGGTCTATCCATATTTCGTGTTGTTACCTAGCTTATAATGACAAACTATTTTTTAAAGGATACGAGTAGGCTCCAGACAACATATTTTCCTTTAGTTTATTTACTATTTAAAAATCTTTCGAAACATATTGAAAATATTAGTGAAAAAAAATTGACTCAAGTATTTTTCCGCCATATTGTTTTTGACAACGGGTGCGCGTAATTTTGAATAAATTTTCCTAATTACGCAGAATTATTTGCTTAAATTTGCGAACGGCGCTACATTTGTTATTGACGCTTAATTGATGAAACTACGAACGTGTTGCATTCCCGGTGTAAAAGAAATTACAAATTATGGTCCCCTGGGGATTATGGTCCCCTTTCCTTACCGCCCGTACTGGTCCTGACTGTATGGAAATAATAAGACCACCAGCCCTTTTACACCGGTACTACGTTCTGTTTTCCATCTACATGTTTAGTGCAGGTGCACTGTACAGACCCCCCGGAGGCGGGGGGGGGGGGGTACCCCTATATATTGGCTATATGGTGACGTGCCGCTAAAGTGCGTCACTTTTTCACTGAAAAATCCCTCGATTTGGGTCCCATTTGAGATAACCCTTGGTTATCTGTTCAGTTAGCATTTTTAGAATATCCCTCACAAAGTTTGGAGACAATCAGCTAATTACACTTTCTTATTGTTTTCATGGGCGTAGCGCCTATTACGCAAAATACGCACAGGCGTACCAAATGAATTTGAAAAAAATTAAAAATATGTTAAAATGCATTAATTTATTTGCGAATTTATTGATGCTTCCAAACATATCGTATCTGTATTTTTTACCATTGTCAACATTTAAAGTTGATAAACGCTTAGATTCCATCAAATGACGTCCTTGAAAAAAATTCTCCCTAGACCCCCCGCGATATGCGGCCTTCGGCCACGCAATTAGGCATCCCAGTGTGCGTATCGGATGTCTCGGATTCGAATCCCTGCCTGGTTTTTAATTTTTTCTAAGTATATAGTTGTCTTTGATTTTAAGCTTACAAAACATTTTAACGACGTCAACTTTATATTAAAACATTTATCATCTTGTCAGTTGTATGAAAATGTAAAAAATAATATATGTCAGCTTATTCCCTTTTCGAGAACAGTCAAGGTTTAAACAATCTAGATTCTATCAGTGCTCAAGATTTCAAAGGTAATTTTATAAATTGCAGAATCTACTATCTTTGTGGCTTTGGTGCATGTTTTTCAAATGAAAACTTTGCACCCACTTGAGGGAAAACTGAGTTTGGTATTTTTTAGTAGAATTGATAAATGTCTCAGATCATGGGCAACTTTTGGTGGACACACCACATATTTTAAACAGTTGATTTTTCAGAGATTTTTTCTGTCTTTGACTGAGTGGTTCACGACTCCTATAAAAGGCTGTGTAGCCGTGCACATAAAAGAACACAGGGCTCCTCCAGGGAGGGGTTTCTGGCTCTTTTTTCGAGTGTAAAATACGTAAAATACGGAATATACCAATGAGGTATTGCTCTCCAAATATGGGGGTAACCAAGATACAATACAAAAAGACAGACATCAAGACAGACGAATGGTGAAAACTGAAGGGCTTTTTAAAAGAAACATAAAACAAACCTTCGCCTGCGATTAGTTTCATCTTTTAGTCTTCTGGTACGTTCGATAACATCATTCTGCTTTTCTTGTTCCCGCAGATGATCAATCTGTTCTTTTTGTAACGCTCGAAATTTGGAGCTTAGATACAGTTAAGGATATCATTTTAATGATTTTTTAAGAGGCATTAGGAGTAACAGTACATTAGAAACATATGTGTATATATGCAGATCTGATGGTAATTTGTTGATAGTGTGAAAAATTTGAAGTTGCCTAAAAATTATTTTTGAAACTCAAAATTGTTTAAAATATACAGATTTATTTAGCCTAAAGGGGTGTATACACTGGCAGGCGAAATGCTTGAAACGGGGGCGAAAAGGCTAAAATGCTTGAAATAGTTGAAATGAAAGAGAATGTGAAAACAGCTTAAGGCGAATTGATTGAAATGCTTGAAACGGCGAAACAGGCCCAAGCAGCACAACAGTAATTTCATTTTTTAAGACGTTATCGATTGAATTGATTGAAACAGCTGAAAAGTCCCGGCGAAATGCTTGAAACAAAAAATGTGCATGTTTGTTTTTCTTTTCAATCGTTTTGTCCATTTCTTCCTGAATGGGTCTTGTGATAAAATGCTTGAAACAGCAAAACGGGCGAAAACAGCAAAACTTTAAATTAATTTCAAAAGGTGAATCGATTGAAAATGACGCAAGCATTGAACATAAGAAATGATGCATGCATTGAAACGATTGAACTGATTGAAACAAGTGAAACCATTGACACACTATTCACAGTGTATACAGGGCTTAGTAGAGACTTTCTACCCCTTCAGCTTACAATCCATTTTATGTTGCTGTAGGCTCCTGGGTGTAGGCTCTTCTCTGTTACTAAAACACCAAGGCTAGTTTTTGATACAACTTCGTAACCCAGACACTCCCCTTGAACACACTCGTTTGGCCAATTATTCCATTTGTGAGTTCCTGTGATAGTCTAAGCAACATTTTTCTAATTGAAAGCCCATGTTTCACCAGGGCTACATTCTTTCGACAATCTAGTAAGCCCAACAAATCTGAATCTCTGTCCTGAACAAAAATCAGACTCCGTTTCTGGGTAATATCTTTGTAATTAATTTCTCTTTGCATGACAACTGTTTTCCAAATTCATGGGCTTGAATGAATTTTCGTCGAAAAATTTCAAGTCTTCTCGGTCTATCCATATTTCGTGTTGTTACCTAGCTTATAATGACAAACTATTTTTTAAAGGATACGAGTAGGCTCCAGACAACATATTTTCCTTTAGTTTATTTACTATTTAAAAATCTTTCGAAACATATTGAAAATATTAGTGAAAAAAAATTGACTCAAGTATTTTTCCGCCATATTGTTTTTGACAACGGGTGCGCGTAATTTTGAATAAATTTTCCTAATTACGCAGAATTATTTGCTTAAATTTGCGAACGGCGCTACATTTGTTATTGACGCTTAATTGATGAAACTACGAACGTGTTGCATTCCCGGTGTAAAAGAAATTACAAATTATGGTCCCCTGGGGATTATGGTCCCCTTTCCTTACCGCCCGTACTGGTCCTGACTGTATGGAAATAATAAGACCACCAGCCCTTTTACACCGGTACTACGTTCTGTTTTCCATCTACATGTTTAGTGCAGGTGCACTGTACAGACCCCCCGGAGGCGGGGGGGGGGGGGGTACCCCTATATATTGGCTATATGGTGACGTGCCGCTAAAGTGCGTCACTTTTTCACTGAAAAATCCCTCGATTTGGGTCCCATTTGAGATAACCCTTGGTTATCTGTTCAGTTAGCATTTTTAGAATATCCCTCACAAAGTTTGGAGACAATCAGCTAATTACACTTTCTTATTGTTTTCATGGGCGTAGCGCCTATTACGCAAAATACGCACAGGCGTACCAAATGAATTTGAAAAAAATTAAAAATATGTTAAAATGCATTAATTTATTTGCGAATTTATTGATGCTTCCAAACATATCGTATCTGTATTTTTTACCATTGTCAACATTTAAAGTTGATAAACGCTTAGATTCCATCAAATGACGTCCTTGAAAAAAATTCTCCCTAGACCCCCCGCGATATGCGGCCTTCGGCCACGCAATTAGGCATCCCAGTGTGCGTATAGTACCAACTCAAAATATAGCCCTACGCCCATGATTTTCCATGTCAGTTTATACATTTCTAAGGCCTTACACATAGGTTCTGGGCCGGGGGTTCCTTATAACACAGATCGATTACCATGCCATCTTTATTTAAAAAAATGCATATTTGTTATTA